CGCGCCCGGCGGGATCATGGCGGCCATCGGGGTGCACCTGGGCTGCACCTGCGCCTGCGTCGCCGTCTATAAGGTGGGGGGTGGCCTGGGGCCTGCATCGCCCCTGGTGTGTGGGTGTCCTGGCTGAGTCCCCTCCTGGTCGTGGGTGTCCTGACAGGACCCCGCTGCCTGGAGGGGGTGGTGCTGCTGGGCCCAGCCCAGGTCTCCCAGCAGCCACGCAGGGAGGGTTTTCCCCTGACTTCCCCTCCGCTGCTCTTTCTGCCCTAGGACGGCCGCGCCGACGTGGTGGCCAACGATGCCGGGGACCGAGTCACCCCTGCTGTCGTCGCTTACTCGGAAAGCGAAGAGGTACGCGTTCTTGCCGGGGTCGCTTGCCGGAGGAGGGGGGCGGTTGGCGTCCGTGCCGTCCTGCCGTTACCCGTTCTCTTCTCTTTTCAGGTGGTGGGTTTGGCAGCCAAGCAAAGCAGAGTAAGGAATATCTTCAATACGGTGGTGAAAGTCAAACAGATCCTGGGGCGAAGGTAAGGGAACGGGCACGACAGGAAGTAACCTGGTTGGTTGGGGGAGCGTGTGCAGCAGGGGTGTCGAACGTAAGGGCTGAGGAGTCCTGCCACCCGGTGCTGATCAGACCCACGTGGGTTGTGGTGTGCGCCCTTGGCACGGGGCTGTCTGTGGCCCTCCTCTGGCAGACTGCATCTGGCCACTGCTCCAGACTCGTGCTGTGTGTGTCGCGGGTCCCAGAGTGGCCGGAGCGGGTGCTCCGTGCAGGGCAATCCGGCCAGGACAGAAGCAGAGCTGCAGGCAGTGGCTGGACTGTGCCCCATGCAGCACTTGCTCTGGAGCACATGTTGCATGCTCCAGCTAGTCTGGGACCTGTGCCACACGCAATACATGCGACTTCAGTTCTGGACTGACTAGAGCAGCTACTGTGTGCAAGTCGCCCTGGAGCAGCCAGGGCAAGCGCTATGTGGGATGTAGTCCAGCTAGGGCGGTTACCACACGCAGCATTGCTGCTGCTCCAGCAAGACTGCACTGCACACCGTGCCCATCTACTGGCTCCAGGATCTGCACTGTGCAGGTCCCAGACTGACTGGAGTAGCTACTGAATCAGATATGCTGGGGGAAGGAGAAGGTGAGGGGGTTCAGCCTCAGGTGCTGGATGAGTTTGACACCTCTGATATACAGTGTGTATTATGTCAAAGGAATGGGAATGGCAGCTTTTATACAAAGCATGTTGATACATGTCTTAAAGCTATAGCTGGTCTGCTAACAGTGTTTACGTTTTAGCTGTAGAAGAAAAATCAAAATTGGATGGTTACCTAAAGGGTTCCATAACTTCCAAAATCATGGCCGGCAGTCATGTTCCTTTTCTGTAATAAATTGTGGAATAAAAAATTGAATAAGTAGGGAACCAGATAACGTACAAAATTTTCTTGCAAATTCGTGTTGTTTGTTTCAGCAAAGTTATTTTTATACCTTATAACATATACTGAATATTAGTGGTTTTGCTGTACTTCTCCACGATTGTTCATTACCATACCCCTTTATTTTACATTTAAAAAAAAACTCATCAAGGCTAAATTGTGTTGTAGTACACTTGCTGATAGAGCATTAATTACCTTGAAATTTTAAATAAATTATAGTGGTAAAAAATAAAATGGCAAAAGAGAAATTGCAATGTGAATAGTGTTCTTGTGTTTGTCATGTCAAATGAGCAAGCTGATGTTAAAAGTTGATGGTATAAATCCTTGTGACAACAATTCTTTTTCATCAGAGAGGTTATGACAAACTTTTAGGCAACTTGGGGAACATTAACATTTTTTAACCAGTTTAATTTGGTAATAATTGTTTTTTCTTTCTCTCTCTCTCTCATCTTTTGGGTGCAAAATTTTAACTGATAGAATTGTTGAACTTCCTTCCCTTTCTTAAGATACCATTTCTATTTATTTTTACAGTGGATACAATTATAATGAATGTGATATGATACCAAAGTAAAAAGGTCACTTGGGATGTATGGGGGGGGGGGAAAACTACTAATCATGACCTTATTTTCTAGTCATAAAGATGACTTTGGGTAAAACAAGTGTGGGTGTTTCTTTTTTTCCCCCAATGTGCTTGTTCAAAAAAGTTTTTAAAGACTTGTCCCTGTCATTTTGAGTTAGAAAGTTAGGGTTGGAAGGGACCTCAGGAAGTCATCTAGTCAAAGCAGGACCATCCCAGCCAAAGCTTGGTCAAGCCAGGTCTTAAAATCCCCCCAAGGATGGAGCTTCCACCACGTCTCTGGGTAACCTGTTCTAGTGCTTCACCACCCTCCTACTGAGAAAAGTCGTCTTAAAGTCTACCTAAATTTCCTTTGCTTCAACTTGAGCCCATTGCTCCTTGTTTTGTCATCTCTCACCACTGAAAACAGTTCATCTCAGCTCCATCCTGTGTTAAACCCCTCTTCAGGTAGTTGAAGGCTGCTATTAAATCCCCTCTGTCTCCATAAGCCCAGTTCCCTCAGTCTTTCCTCAGAAGTCATGTCTCCTAGTCCCCTCACCATTTTGTCACCCTCCACTAGACTCTCTGATTTGTCCACATCCTTTCTGTAGTGGGAGGCCCAAAACTGGACACATTACTCCACATGTGGCTTCCCTCGAGGGAAGTTATTATTCCCTCGAGGGAATAATAACTTCCCTCAAGGTGTAAGGGGCAGAACGACTGTCTTACGGTGCACTGATTAGTCATGGCAACGGTATTTGACTGACATACAGTAAAGTAGTCAGTGTTCTTTGTAGACCACGTGGTCTGAAACTGTAAATGCTTATTAACAAGATTAGCAGTGTACATAATGTTAACTGTGGTCACTTTTTTTTGCTAATTTTTATTTGCCTTCACAGCTCTGGTGACCCCCAAGCTGAAAAATACATTACAGAAAGCAAATGCTCAGTGAGTATGATCCGTTTTCCCCCTGTCCCTCCTCTTTTTTTTTTTTTTCCTTACAGAGTTCTTTTCAGTGTCTTTCATGCTTCATTGCTTTGTGATTTTAATGATCAGTTTCTTATGACTATGGATCTACCCAAGTCATGCCAGAAGTGCACTGTATAGTGGCTCCTTCTAATCCTCCTCTTTTTGGCCCCGTGCTCCACCCTCCCCATTGCAGATTGGCCAAGGGACCCTGGCAGCCCTGCTACTTGCTCCTGATCAGCCAGGAGGCAAAAACCACAGTTTTAAACTTCCTGTGGTTTGTCTCCTGCTGCTGAATGGCTGAGGGGCCGCAGTGGCCCTACCACTTGCTGCTCTTTTGCTGGGAGGCAAAAGCTGTGACACATTTAAAACTCCAGTTTTGCTTTGCAGCCCATCAAGAGTAAGTGGCACAGGGCCACCAGGGTCCTTCAGCCAGTCAGCAATGTGGTGGGGGGGAAGGAAGCAGTGTGGTGAAAAGATCAAAATTTAAAGGAGTTGCTGCACAGTGCACTTCCAGCATGATTTAGGTAGATCCCTACTTACAACAGACTAACATTGTGAGACCCTATCTGGTATGGGCTTCTCTTCTTACAAGATTTTTTTTTGGCGCCGGGGGGGCTCTCCATGTACTGCTGAAGTGTGTGTGTGTGTGTGTGTGTGTGTACATGTGCAGAGTTTAAACCATTCAAAAGAAGTGGTTTATACCTAATATGCTTTGAACATCTCTTTGGAGAAACTTGTTGCACCCAGGATGTCTCTAGGGGCTCTTATTTTATCTGAAGAAGTAAAAGAGAATTCAAAGCAAGTTCCTCCAAACTATGTACCAGTTTCTCTGTGTCTATTTAGTGCCGTACTAACTTTATACTAACACAGCTTAACTACCTCTTGTGGCGGGCCAGTGGGGGTGCTCCTGTATTGAGCCACCCACCTCACTGTGCCCAACCACCTTCTAGGCTCTTGAGTGCCTCCCTGGGGGTGCCTCACGTCTGACCGACACCCCCCCTCCCCCTTCCTGGAGCACACCCACTAGCCTGGGGGTAGAGCTGCCACCACCCAGGGATGGGCTTGATTCTGGCTCTGCACCCCCTGGGAAACACAGGCCTAGTAGCCCTCAAGGGTATTTGACTCATTTCAAGAATTTGGGGTGCTTCCCTCAGTCAGAAGCACAAGTAGTGGTCTCCCTTAGTCAGCTGAACCAAGGGGACCCCAGGGCATAATCTAGACCTACTCCCAATAAATTTCCCACACTAGGTACAAAGGAGAACTTTATTGGTTACAAGGAGTAGGGTTGGAAAAGGGTACAGAGTTGAGTAGCATCAGCGAAATCCCATAGAGCAAACTGGCATGGCTGGATAGCCTTTGATCATGCATCTGAGTTACTGCAAGCTATATATCTAGTTAGATCTCAGGTAGCTTATTCACAAATATCATCCAGAGGCAGGTGGAGATTCCCTCTGGAGGCAGGCAGTTCCTTGATCATGAGTCTTGAGAGAGAGCAAGGTTTCAGATGGTCCAGCTCCTGTCTCTGTCTCTGAGTGAGTTTTCCTCATGGCTGCTGCCCCTTCCTTCTGGGCAGTCCTTAACTTATCTAGCCCTTATGACCTCATTTATCTGGTCCAATAGAGGCCAGCAGCTGTTGGCTGTCAGCTCGTGGAACAAGTCAGCCTGGAAGACCCTCAGTATTGCCAGAAAGTGAAATTCATATTGCTATGGATTTCAGGCTCTTTTTTGCATATTGTATGCTATGGGCTACTTGATGTAAGCATAGATAACACAAAACAACACTGCTGATAAACCCAATGGTCAAGAAAAAGTTTTAGTTTTTGAGCATTTGTATTATTCAAGACGAAGACTACCATGAAAAATTATTCTCTTCTGGGAATAGAAACTGAATTAGACTTTTAAATGTCAATTTTCCTTCTTTATAAACAACATGAGTGACCTGTCACACACTTTTGTGTTGATTTTTATTTTAGGTGACTGAGAAGAATGGAAAACTCCAGTATGAAATGGATAACAAACTTGTTAGCCCTGAAGAAGTTGCAAAACTAATTTTCAGTAAAATGAAAGGTATGTAGTGAGTAACACTTTCTTTAAAATTGTTATGGGTTTAATATTACCAAGGTATCTTCTTAATCAACGTTTTTTGTTTGTTCTTATGGACAGAAACTGCTCAGTCTGCTTTGGGTTCGGATGTCAATGATGTTGTGATCACTGTACCATTTGACTTTGGAGAGAACCAGAAAAATGCTCTTGGGTAAGAGGAAAAAGGTTCTGGTTTGTGTTTTAAATTGTGATGATAACCAAGAATGGTATCCTATCTTGACTGAAACAGAGCAGGGAAATTTCCACCAACTTAAATAGGATTGTTAGGAATCCATCTCTGGCTAAGTGAATGGGAGGCACATCACTGATTTCAGAACGGACAAGAAGTTACAAGTTTTACCATCTTCTGGCCTTTCCTTTTGAAACTACGTGGTCTTGGTTTGTTCCTACTGTATCAAAGCTCACCATCCCAATTTGTACTAGCTGCACTCTCTTAGGGTGCCTATACACATGCTCTGATGTGTTCTAATTAGAATGAGAATGTGGCGCATACTCGATTTAATCAAGTCTGCTCCGCATTCTAATTAGAACACTTGAACATTGCTGCAACCTCACTTGCGGGTTAAAAATGGCTGCTGCAGCACTTAAAAGCTCATTGAATGAACTGTAGTTTGTGTCCCAGTGCTGTACACAGGGGGCTTAATGCACGTGATACAGTAAAATTTTGATTGGAGTGGCTCTCTGGAACCACTCTAATTAAAATGCTGCCTTAACTGCCAAGCACATGTATAGGCACCTGTAGAGGTGAACTTTTTTTAAAAAAAACCAAGTCATGGATTTGAAGATCAAACTCTTCCAGTCTTGTATTACCGGAGACCAGTCCTCCTAGATTTGGTTTCAGGCATACTGACTGGACAGTACCTGGGAGCTTGTCCATTTAGGCAGAAGCATTGGGTTTAGAGCACTGCATGTTAGAATTATAGAAAACTAGGATTGGAAGGGACCTCAGGAGGTCATTTAGTCCAACCCCCTGCTCAAAGCAGGACTATCCCCAACTAGATCATCCCAGGCAAAGCTCTGTCTTAGCTAGGTCTTAAAAACCTCCAAGGATGGAGAATCCATAGCCTCTCTGGGTAACCTGCTGCAGTGTTTTACTACCCTCCTAGTGAGAGAGTTCTTTCTAATATCTAACTTAAACTTACCTTGCCGCAACTTAAGAGCGTTGCTCCTTGTTCTGTCATTCATTTGCCACCACTGAGAACAGTCCAGCTCCATCCTCTGCTGGACTCTCTCCAATTTTCCACATCCTTTCTGTAGTGGGGGGGGCCCAAAACAGAACATAGTACTCCGCATGGGATCTCACCAGTGGTGAATAGAGGAGAATAATCACTTACCTTGACCTGCTTGCAACACTCCTACCAGTGCAGCCCAGTATACTGTTAGCCTTCTTGGCAACAAGGACACACTTGTTGGCTCATTCAGCTTATTGTCCACTGTAACCCCCAGGTCCTCTTCTGCAGAGCTGCTTCCCCTCTAGTCAACCCCCAGCCTGTACTGGTGTGTGGGATTGTTCCATCCTAAGTGCAGGACTTTGCACTTGTCCTTGTTGAGCCTCATGAGGTTTCTCATGGGCCAGTCCTCCAACTTGTGTAGGTCACACTGAATCCTAGTCCTACCCCCTAGCGTATCTACTACTTCCCCCCCCCTCCCCCCCCCGCTTTTTGTCATCTACAAACTTTGCTGAGGGTGCACTCTATGCCATCTTTCAGGTTATTGGTGAAGGCATTGGCCAAAACCAGCCCCAGAACCAAACCCTTGAGCACTCCCCTTGATACCTACTGCCAACTAGGTATTGAGCTATTGATTACTATCCTCTGAGCCCAATGATCCAGACAGTTTTTTCTGTCCACCTTACACTCCATTCATCCAGCCCATACTTTCTTAGCTTGCCTGCAAGAATGCTGTGGGAGACAATATCAAAAGCCTTGCTAAAATCACAGTATACCACATCCACTGGTCTCCTTGCATCCACAGAGCCAGGCACCTCATCATAGACGGCAATCCGGTTGGTCAGGCATGCGTTTCCCTTGGTGAATCCATGCTGACTGTTCCTAATCACTTTCTTCTCCAAGTGCTTAGACATGGGTTCCTTGAGGATCTGCTCCATGACTTTTCCAGGAACTGAGGTGAGTCTGACTAGTCTGTAGTTTCTTGGATCCTCCTTTCTCCCTTTCTTAAATATGGGCATTACATTTGACCTTTTTTTCCAATCATCCGGGACCTGTCCTGATCATAATGAGTTTTCAAAGATGATGGCCAGTGGCTCTGCAGACATCAGCCAACTCCCTCAGAATCCTCAGGTGCATCCCATGTGGCCCCATAGACTTGTATATGTCCAGCTTTTCTACATAGTCCCTAACCTGTTCTTTCTCTGTTGTTGGCTGCTCCCCTCCTCCCCAAACTGTGCTGCCAGGTACAGTAGTCTCGGAGCTGACCTTACCTGTGAAAACTGAGGTGAAAAGGGCACTGAGCATTTGAGCCTTTTCTGCATCCTCTGTCACAAGGTTGCCTCCCCAATTCAGTAAGGGACCCACACTTTTTCCCTGGTCTTCCTCTTGTTCCTGACTGACTTGTAGAAACACTTCTTGCTCCCCTTCACATCCCTTTCTGGCCTTCCTGACTTCATCCCTGTATGCACCAGCAATATTCCTATGCTCCTCCCTAGTTGTTTCTCTAAGTTTCCACTTCTTAAAAGCTTCCTTTCTGTGATTTAGCTTACTGAAGAGTTCCCTGCTAAGCCAAACTGGTCTTCTGCCATACTTGATAGTCTTTCTACATCGGGATGTTTATTCCTGTACTCTCGGTAAGGCTTCTTTAAAGTACAGGCTACCTGCTCCCCCATCTCAAGGCACGCTACGCCCTAGCCTTCTGGGCAGCAGCTGGCTGGGGCGCAGGCTGCCTCAGTGCAGGGTCTCTAGTGTGCAGGGTCAGGGGAACTGGCAGTCCTGGGCTGCTTGCTGTCCCATCTCTGTGTTGCTCCCTGGCGGGCTGGAGCACGGGGTGCCTCAGTGTGGGGGCTGCCTGTTGGCTAGCCCTGCACCGAGGTACCCCGTGCCCCAGCCATTCTCCACTGCAGCACATGGGACAATGTGTCCTGCTGCAAAGCACACAAGTAGGAGTGTGCATCGCAGCACAAAGTAGCGGCACAAATTTGTGCCACTACTATGCATGCTGCTGCAAACACATGCCCCTGCTTATGTGAATGTAGCCAACAATATGTGCAACTGAGTCAGAGGACCTAGTTGAAAAATCTGTGTGTGGTACAAATTGCTGTGTTCTTTAATTGGGATAAATCACTTTTGGGCAGCTGTCTTAAACATGATGTTTGAGTTGGTACTACATGCTAGTGGGGCTTCCTTGGTGCTACATAGGATACCAGGTAAAATTAAATGCAAACCTTTAATCAACTGTGATGTCCCTTACCACAGGGAAGCAGCTGGGGCAGCTGGCTTTAATGTTATGAGATTAATTCATGAACCATCTGCAGCTCTCCTAGCTTATGGAATTGGACAAGATTCACCCACTGGGAAAAGGTAAAAACCTAATTCTGTAACTAGTTACCTTTTTTAATGCATTGCAGCTAAGTATTCTGTAGCTTTGATTTAAGTAATAGCAATGCATAATTATAACATTTATTGTGACAAATAACCTGTGACTGTTCCATAATAAAGAGAACCCAGTGGAGCACAATTTGCAAGTGGCACACCACTGGAAACTAAAAATTTTTAGTCTCAAAATATTTTTGCTATCCATGCTACACTGAATAAGGAGATAAGACAAAACAGTCTGAGTCGGGCTCTACTGTAGCCTTGACTTGCCAGACATAGAGCAGTACTGATCTAAGCTGCATCTAAGTCTCAACAGGTGTGTAAAGCCTTATGTTACCTAAACATTCAAGGGTGCAGACAGAAGTGACAATTTTTGCCTGATCTGGCCACAAAGCCGTTTTATAGCCGTGGCCAAACACAAGTGCATGGCTGCAGACAGATTAAAAAATGGCTGATAAAGTGAAAATCTGGCCCCTCAATGCATGAGGTACTGAATAAAGATGTTTCAAAATGTAGAATCTTTTTTTGTAACTTGTGTTTGCAGAGCTCCCAGCCTGTCACTATTTTCAGAATGGGATGCGGGGAGTGAAAGGGAGCAGTGAGAGTTCAGTCTGGGGGGTTTTCACCCCACCCTTCAGAACCAACTGGGGAGACCCAGGAACAAGCTTCTGCTTTACCACCACCCTTCCCGTGCGCCTGCCCCCCCAGCTCCCATTCTGAAAACAGCAAGCACTGGTTGTTCCTGTGGGAACCTGGCTCCCAGCCCACAGCTAGATTTTCCCCCTCCCCTGGGACCAGCAGTGAACTTGTTTGGTCCAGGGTAATGTTGTAACTCAGAACAATTTTTGCAAAGGGTTCTGAGTTACAGCTGAGAGCTGCACTTCTGTCTGCACCCCAAGTACTATGCAGAGCTTTACAAATAGTGAAGGCTGCCCATGAGGCAGCAAGGTGTCTCTCTTGGCTGTCTGGTTGAGGCCTGTAACCTTAATTATAGCATTAGTTAAACATAGAATGTACTTGGCTTGACAACAGCAGGCAGCTGCTCTTAAATGTGCTGTCAGAACCTACTTTTATGTTTCTAAGTATAATTGTAAAGAAAGTATTAAGTAATGTACACGTTCAGCTTAATTATCTGGCTTAAAATTTCTTTTGCATGGCAGTAATGTGTTGGTTTACAAGCTTGGAGGAACATCACTTTCTATCACGGTCATAGAAGTAAATAGTGGAATATATCGTGTTCTTGCCACAAACACAGATGATAGTATAGGAGGTGTATGTTTCACAGAAGCTTTAGCACAACATCTAGCATCTGAATTTCAGAGGTAAGTGCTGGATACTCTGCAGGTACAGATACATGTAAGTTTCTATTGCTGTTGGAACTGGAACGGTTTGGTGGGGTTTTTTCTTTTTCTTCTTTACAGACTGGATTATTTGCTTTATGGTCTGAAACCAGCCAACTTATTCTGCCAGGTCCTGCAAGGTAAACATGATTGGGATGCGCTCTTAGTTAAACCTAAGAACAGTGGTCACAAGCCTACAGATCTTGGGTTTTGAGTGTTAGTCATTTTGAGTTGAACTGAAGTTTGAAAGACCAGTCCAGTACAGCTCAACTGGTTTATTGATTTAAGACTCAATAATAAATAAATAAAATAATCAGTGACATTAAAATAGGCTTTATCAATCCTTGGTGTGTTGCACCAGTGGTGCTCAACTCATTCAGGCACGTAGACCAGAGGACGTAGTGCATGGGCATTGGTCTGTGGGCTGAATGTTTGGCAGTGGCAAAGCAGCAGCAACATGGATTGCTCTGACTTCTGAAGCCACAGCAGTTAACACTGCCACTTCTCATCCTGCTGCCAGAGGTCTTTTCTAGACCAGCAGATGGTAGGCTAGATTTTGCTCACCCTTGTTTTGTACAGTTTAAATGGAACAAGTGAATATAATGTAACAGTCCTTCCCCCCTGCCTTTTCTCCTCCCACTTTCTTTTCTGTTGGCATACTTCTTAGAGAACATAATCCTGTGAAAGTGATTTGTTTGCTTTTTGATGAGCACACTGCACAAAACAAAAAAGGGAAGGGAGCATGGGATTATACTGATAATGCCACAATATCTGCTCATTCTTACTGATCATTCTTTGACACCTTAAAAGTAACAAACGTGTAAGATGTCCAGTTTTCTTGGGGAAGAGCAGAAACCTTTACTGAGCAATAGTTAAGAATAGTCTAAACTGAAGTTCAAAAAAAAAATTAACTACCCCTTGACATAAAACAGTATAGGAATTTGCTCAGTATGCTTGCCCATTGACCAGCAAAGGCTGAGCACCATACAAATAATAGATTAACCTTTTGACCTTTTTTTATTTGAATTTGAAGTGGACTTCTAATTTGTAAATTTTTTGAATAATACCCGATTGTATTGCATGCCATCTAAAATGCCTTTATTGCAGACCAGGGAGACCAATTGTTCACTTCTGATTTTCAGAAAGCAATAATATTGAGTAGACTTTCCCAGTCATTCTAAATAAAGAATCTTATTTTTGATACAGGGGTTACAAACATGACATCAGAGAAAATCCGAGAGCCATGATGAAGTTAATGAACAGCGCTGATATTGCAAAGCACTCATTGTCAACTCTGGGAAGTGCAAACTGTTTTGTAGACTCACTGTATGATGGTTTGGATTTTGATTGTAATGTGTCCAGGTACGGCTACTTCTTTAGGAATTGTTTCTGTTTGTGTATTTGTTTGGGTTTTTGTATGTTAGAATTTTCCTTTATTTTTAGGGTAGCTTTTCACTTGTCAGTTTGGAGAGAGAGACAATTTCATGGGGACACGGTGTATTACGATTAAAATCTACATCTCTGCAACAACTTTCAGCAGTTCTAGCAATGCAAGTGGTTCCATTGTCTTCAGTAGGATTGCTATCAGTGAGTCAAGTAGGCACTGGCACGGTATTGTAGCACTGTTGCTAGAGATAGAAGTGAAATTAAAAGAAATACAAAAGGTATGGGGATGTTGTCTCTGGAATCAAGGGGATCTCACCAGCTCTCATTGCTGTAGAGCAAGTTCTGAAATTCCTATTGGGTGTTATCTTTTAACCCTGTTCAGTCTTTCACTTGCTCCTATGTCATGGGAGTTGGGTAAATCCTTGCAGTTCCCTCCTTTCTAGCTGTGAAATGGGGTAGAAGTCTTCCATTTCTTTACTCCCCAATTGTATGGTCTGGGATGAAGGTGATCTCTTCACTTCTCTGCTGCTTCCCAGAGCCTTTCCTTTTCTACTGATCTAGCCACCTTTCTGGACTCTACCCTGGACTATCAGTAGCTCTAGCGAAATAAAGGAGAGGAGGTTCTCAGCATTTGCTTCCATGGTTCAGCCTGCTGCTGCTCCTTCATGCCAAAGCAAAACGGTGTTAGCTGCCTGCGCACTAGGGAATACACCACAGCATGGCTTACAGTCGATCCACTTTGGACGTCTGTGATCTATTGATGGTGAATTAGAACTTTCTTCAGAAATTTCCTTTGCACTTATTGGGCCAATCTTCCCATTCAGATTGGATTGGGTGGTTTTGCCTACTGGTTTTAGCTTCACAAACTTGTTTGCTCCTGAGCATAAAGTAAGAGGCTGGTTAAGGACCCTGAATACTCTAGTCAACACTCATCCACAGAGAGGAACAAGTTCATTTTAGTCTTTGCAAGAGGCTCCAGGTTAAAACTAAAATTAGATACTGATGTTACACCTTTTGACGTAAGATGTGTTTTGCCTATTAATTTGTTGCCATGTCTCGTACATGGAAAATGGTTCTTTTTATGTAAGCCATCAAGACTAAGTATGAGCACCAAGTAATTTTCAGAAAAATAAATATTTTCTGTCTGCCAGGATATTGGGACTCCTAGTTTCCCCAGGCATTGATAGTGGCCATTCTGTAGATTAGACTTTTATTTTGACCACTCAATCTTTTGAAGGACAAAAGGTAAATTTGTTCACTTCATTTCTTTTCTAACAGGGCCAGGTTTGAACTTATTTGTTCTCCGCTTTTTAATAAATGCATAGAAGCCATTAAAAAACTTCTGCAACAAGTTGGGTTCACTGCAGATGACATTAATAAGGTAATGTTTGAATTTTTTATTTTTTTTTTCATGGATGCCTTATAACTTTGTTGTAAGAGTGCCTGAAGAATGTATTCACAAAGACTTTGCCAAGCAGCTCCCATCTGCTGTTAATTACTTGAGCTGGAAATATCTTAAGCACTTTCTGGTTACTACACACTGTTTTTATAAATGATGTAGGCTTAATCTCCTCTGTACATTTCTAACTCCATTGGTGTCAAAGGATGTTGTGTTCACATCAAGGAAAAGTTAATCTCCTGAGCAACCTTTTTTTTAGATTTATTAAAAAAAGAAAAAGAAAAAAGCAGACGTTTGGGTTCCTAAGTTTATCTGAAGCTTACTTGTGCTTATATAGCATTTCAAGAACAATGAAGTGATCTATTCAAGGAGATCAAACTCAATTTTTTTGGAGTTAAATTTAAGTCTAGAACCTAGTCTAGGCATACTATCTCTTATTAAAATATTTTCATAGATTTTGATTTTGAACCTACCTTGCATTGAAATGAACTTATAGCTAATGATTTCCTTAAAAAAATTAAAACACTGTACCTCAAAATACTCAGAAACCTGGGCTTGTACTAACTTTTGCTGAGGCTAGTGGCATATTCCCACTGTCTTTAGGCATTGGATTGGGCTCTGGCTTGGGGTTTCCAAGTTAAGGCCTTACTTGGATTTGAGCAAGTCATTTCTGCCTCACCTCCCTTGTTAAACAGAGTTATAAGTTACTCTAAATACAAAATTACCAAAACTTTAAGTAAAGTGCTTGAAAACTGGAGTGGTAAGTGAAGTGTTGTGTATAAATCACTTCTGTAATTTGCACTTAAAAATAAGCAATTGCATTTTATCACATTTGCCAGACTCCATAATCAAACTGTCCTTTTACCTGCATGATTGAAGCTATGTTATAGCAATGCTGCAAAATGCTGTAAGCTAATGAGTCAGACACTTATCCAGTACTGATAATGACTTGATGCTATTTCAGAATCCATAGTCATTATTACACATGATCTCTGTGTGGTTGCTTATATTAAGAGAGCGAAGAGACATTTGAAACCAAGGCTTGCACTGACAACCAGCAGAAATTCTCAGTGCAGTGAGGGTTGACCCTGAAGAGGACGTGTAGGCAACTTGCACATCAAGAGGTTCTGTGATGCCCTCAGTTCTTAAACTAAGCTACAGTAGAGCCAGGATGAGTGCAGTCATGAGTCCTTCATTTAAAAAAAAAAAAAAAAAAAAAAAAATCTGGAATAAAAAGAAATAGTGAGAAATCAGCAAACCATAATGCAAAAATTTGAATTGTAAACTTAGAAGTTAAACTTGACATGTAAGAAGAATGGCTAGATAATATTAAATATACTGTGTGTGCTTTGCACCAGAACTCCTGATCTCTGTGCTAATGGAAATAGCTACTTATGAATTGCATTCATTTTGAAGTTAGGTTAATCTGACTACTGCGTATGTAAGCGGTGTGTTTGTGTATTTTCTGAGGTTTCTTGAGCAGATACGATTGTTCCTCCAGAAAGGACTTCATGCTTGCCAGCTGTTTTCTTTTCTCCTCAGTCAAATACTAACGTTTGAGAAGCCAGGCAAAAATAATGTTTTTGCACACTTGGTAATTACTGTTAGCATTGTCATGATCCTAGGCTGTTAAACATCAGTGTAATTCTCTGTCCAACACTTTTGTAGAACTATAAGAAGTGAATTAAGAACTAATCTTTTCTAGGTAGTTCTGTGTGGTGGGTCTGCTCGAATCCCAAAGCTCCAACAGCTGATTAAAGACCTTTTCCCAACTGTGGAATTGCTGAATTCGATTCCTCCAGATGAGGTCATTCCCATCGGAGCAGCCATAGAAGCGGGAATCCTGTTAGGGAGAGAGAACCTCTTGTTAGAGGAGGAAGCACTGTCTATCGAATGTTCTGCCAAAGATATTCTTGTGAAGGTAAGACTAAAAATTATTTGACTTTCAGCTCCAGTAGTAATAAAGTATCTCTTGGGGCCAATTTATTGATGTGAGTAGTGTTCTTCAACACTAGCTGATTTGCTAGCAGGTTGTGATGTCATTGAACTTAGGACATTATCTGTAGCCTGTCTTTAAAAACAATGGAATCACTTCCATTGTCTTCAGGACCAGCTTCCAAGGCCACTGACTACAGTATAGTAGCTAGACTGGCCTTTTGTACTTGCAGTATATCCTATACTTCAAATGCAATGCTGTAGATATTGCAGTGACAGCAAATATTACCGTTTAGCTAAATTTCTTCTTGGTTTTTTTTTTTTTTTTTTAAATTTATTTTTCTTTCTTAGAGAGCTACTATGTAAATACTGTCCTTTTTAATTAAAAAAAAAAAAAAAAATGACAGCCCAATTTGAGCAGATGGGGCAAAATGGCACCTTGAGAAGTAACTCGGATGCATCAGCCTTTTGTAAGCGATGGCTGACTAAGTAAGCTTTTTCCTACTTGCACCTCTCCAAATGAATTGGTCTCTAAAGTTCTACCTGTGTGGGCCGGGAGCAGTCCGAGGCCCTCAGGGGCGCGCAGTGGGCTGTGGCCAGCAGCCCGGACACGCCGGGTCAGGGAATGCAGGCCGGCGGGCTAGAATTAGGCACGGACGCTTAGCGGTTGATTAAAGATTATTTTACTTACACCGAAGATGGTCGCGGTGCAGGCAGGAAAACTTGCTTGGGTTGCGGTTACAGACAGGAAAAAAGAGAGGCGGACAAGAGTTCCTTCCACGCGAACCTCTAGGCCAATCCAGTGGAAGGCTCTAAACACGCGAGCCCGTCGTGTCAACCGAAGAAAACAACTCAAAGCAGAGAGCTCTGGATACACTCACACGAAGTTTGCTAGGCTCCGTGGAACTTGCGCGCAGGGAAGGGGTTCGTCGAGGGATCGTTCGGCGACGGGGAGAGGCCAGAGGTTGATCAGACCCCTGTAGCCTTCTTAAGGTACACGCTGGG